ACATGCAAAGCCTTACAACACGTCAAGACACAATTGACGGGGGGCTTACAGAATTTTAGGGGAAGAAGCGGGGTTTTCATGTACGCTAAACATGAGTATAAACACCACCGACTCTCCGCAATGTTTTGGCCAAAACGACAGACAGATCATACATCACAAATGCTGACAACATCAAAGTCAGACAAACACAAAACAACAACAGTACACGTACAAGTGACATCATCATGTGGAACAACAACCACATCCAAAACTACAGAAAAATACACCACAGAAGCACATGCTCTAAGAGCACGACAACACAAGCTCCAAAACATAAGGGGACAACACGAACGACATTGACATACATCATAGATATTCATGTCGATGATATTATTAAAACAACAAACAAAATGGTGTTTAAAGTTTTTACAGGTTACGGTTACACTCACAGAGTCAAACCCCTCATTTATACAACGAGGGACGAAATCACATTTGCCAACCAAAGTGTCGACATCTACCTAGACGAAGTTTCAACTTGTCAGCATTGCTTAGATACGATCATTAGCACAAATTGGGAGGAAGATGACAGGAGACCGGCCTTCGTTCTTCGTCACCTCACTCAAGGAGACAAATTCGATCTAAAAACTACTTGCACAGAATTAATGAAGTCGTCTCATCAGATGAGTGACGAATTGAAGGAGACATGTCGTCAGAAAAGTGACGAGTTGACAAAAGTGTCTTTTTATACGAATGACAGGTTGACAGCATGTCTGATCAGACAGATTACGAGTTCACATGGGCGATATTCAAGGATGACAGACATCAAAGTTTTCAAGATTTTGACAAGTTGACGCTTAACGGGTTGACATGTGCGCTCATACGCTTCAACTTCTCGAAAGGGGGGCAATTGTTGGGCCGAAGAAAATAATCACGCGAGTGGGCTAGTTGTTGGGCGTGGTTATTTAAAGAGATTAGTACATGAAGTCCATTGGGAGAATACTCAATTCAATGTTCTGGCAGAATGACTTGGTCAATAATCCAAGGCATTGAAGATAAGAACGAAGTAAACGGATACTAACTGAAGTGGAGAGCTAATAGGGGAAGCCACCTATTTCGGTGGAAGGTTGTTGCACACTTGCACGTGGGTATGACATTTTAGAATAAATAGAGTCCCTAAGTGGAAGATTTAGACGGATTACTTTTTGCTCAACTCTTGTAATACAGAGGAAGATCACTCACGATCACTTTTGATCAAGCTATTACTTGTATTCACAATCAGTAGATATCCACTATCACATATGTTCGAATTATTATTCCAAACCCATTGTTCAATCTATTCAATATATTCATTTAATTCACACTTCTTTATTAATCCATAGCCGATTCTTTTTGCTTGATTCCCTCTTCATTAAATAGCTTTTGATTAGTTAATTTCTAGTTAAAACAAAAGTTATGGCAAAAAAAAAAATAGCAAGTCTGATCTAACTCACATTTTAAATTGGGTTTATTTTAAAGCTAAGTGAAAGTAATCAAAAATAAGCTTTTCACATTTATAAGTGGCTTACAAATACAATCACCACCATCGAGTCAAGTTTTCAAGGGTGTGCCATGTTAATCGTGAGCCATGGCGATCCCCTTCAAATTCTGCAGACACTTCTTGGAGCAGCGCTTCAAGGAGAGATTTTGCTATTGATGATGACTCACTACAAAAAAACACGCCTGTAGTTATGGACGTTAGTCACGGATTGCGTCCGTGACTAGTCACGGAATTAAAAAAAAGAAGTTAGTCACGGATTTGTCCGTGACTACGTCCGTGACTAACCAAATCCGTGACTAACGCCCGTGACTAAAGTCCTCCGGTAGCCCCAATTCCGTCTCCGGTGTGTCTTATTTTATTCCGGCACTTAGTCACGGACAAATCCGTGACTTAGTCACGGCATGTCTTATTTTATTCCGGCACATAGCCACCTCCGTCGTCCGCTGCCTTCCACCACCATCAAGGTTATGTTCTCAACTTCTATTTTTTCGTAGTTTAATAATTAATTATAAATGTTTTAATTTTTAAAAATGCATTTTTTGTTGTTATTATAATAAAAATGCATGCTCTATTTGTTATACCCGAATGTAGATGTATATACTCAATTACATACTTTAATTTTCAATATGTATGTTCTTTTTGTATAGGTATACATGTTCAAAATTATTTGTATATTAAATTTCAGCTTTTTGTGTATTAATACATGATTTGAATATTTGGTTTGCCTAATGCATGTAATTAGTCTTAAATTCACAATGATTATTAATATACTTGGTTATGTATCGTTTTCGGTCAAGCATGATTTTTTTTTTTACACAATGCATGCCTAAATAGGAATTAGTGTATATGTTTAATATCCATGCCTAAATTTTTCGTGTATATGTCTAATATGCATGCCTAAACATGATTTAGTTTTTTATTAAACCATATGCATGAATATATGAATTATATATCTAAATTAGGATTATTATTTACTTACATTTTCGAAAATTAATTGAAAAAATCTACTCCCTCATATTAAACTAATAAACAGTTTAATATGTCTCATATATATTTCCAAAATTAAACATTTACAATACATCATCCCCCTCATGTTAAACTTGCAAAAAAGTTTAACATGTTCAATTCAAAACGAAAATATTTATTACGAAAATAATACCATTTAATAAACTGTTTTCCAAATAAAAACTTTATATTTAAATATAAACTGTTTAACAAGTAAGACATAGAAATAAATTATTGATAAACATTGCGCCAAAAGATGCATAAGAAACGCAGTTTTTTCAATAATTTATTCAACTGATTTTTCAGATTGAATTTTAAATTGAACATTTTTTAACATAATGTAGACTTCATAAAGAAAGTTTTCATAAATTTTCATTAAAAAAAATCACTTGGAAGCACCTAAAAAAATCCACCCTAAAAATTATTAGTTTATAGCTGAAAATTCATCCTACTCACACCTATTATAAGTAACTAAATTTGGGCCTATTTTTTCATTTTTTGAGCCTAGCCCCCCTCCCCCCATAGGTCCGCCCCCGCTCTAGATGCACCAACATGACTATGATCCTTTTATTCTCAAAATAGGAGCATTATATGTCTCTTCTTCCTATTCTACTTTTTCCTATAATTTCTAATAGATTTATTTTATTATGGGAAAATAACTTTAAATAATACAAACTATCTTCCATGAATTAAGAATTGTAAGTATTGTGGATATTATTTATAATAATACCAACTATTCAAATATAGACCAAAAGTGATATAGAACATTTTTCACCAAAACTGTAGTCATTTAATTCACCAAAAACTAATATTAAAAAAATCAAATAAGTGATTATATTTTCGAATATCAATTATTTGATGGTTTGTTATGTTTTGGATTACTTAAATGATTGGATTTTATGTTAAAAAGTGACTACATATTATCATTTTTTACAGTCAAATAGTTGACATTATTAAAAATCATTTTCGAAGTATGTATTATTACTGGTGGATGAGTGATAATTGGTATTATTTAAAATTATTTTCCCTTGTTAATAAGAAAATCATAGTTTTATTTATAATAAAATATAAAAAAAAATAAAATATTTTTTAAATTGATAAAAAAGGAAAACATATAATAAAATAAAGAAACAAATATTTAAAAAACTTTAAAAAGCCTAAAAAATACCTAAAAATTGATAAATATGTAGGCCATTGCTACCACATCTTCCACTTCCCATTGCCACCAATTCTGATCTTTGAAAAAGTGACATCTTGTCTAAATACTGCCACATTCATCTGAAAATGTCATGAAGATTGACTTTTTTTCAACTTGGCATTTTTTTTGGTGACCAGAAGTGACGATGCTGGAAGGTGGCTGAGATGGTGATTGATGCCTGCATATTTTTTATTTATTTTTTACTTAAGGGTCAAATAGGTCAATGTACCTTTCCGGATTGCTCAATTTGCTGCCTGAACCCAAAAAAGCTCCAATTAGCACCCTGAAGTCGATAAAAAGATTCAAATTTCACTTTAAGCAGGTTACAAGTCGGACATCGCCACGTCACCCGGTAGGGTGCCAACTGTGCATGTGACGTGGCAACTTAGGGGGTCTAATAAGCCCCTGAACCCAACCGAATTGTTCAATTTACCCTGTCAACCCTAGAAAATGTCAAATTTTGAAAATAAAATAGAATAAAATAAAAGTCATATATAATAAATTTAAAATAAATTATAAATAAAATACATGTCTAAAATAAAAAAGATATATTAATATGAAATATTTATCGTTCACAGTTAATTCAAAATAAAAAGTAAAATATAAACTAAAAAAATCTTTATGTTTATTTCTAGATTTTATAACTACAATGTATTATATTTTATGTATTATATCTAATGGTTTGTAATATAACACATATTTTAGGTTTTTGGTTTGATAATTTTTACGAAGCATTATGTTTAAATTATCCATTTGTATTTTTTTTCACATTTCTTAATTTATTTATAATATACTAAAAATAAATATACAATTCTTATGTAACTATTTTTTTCAAAGTTACCGATTACATTTTTTTATATCTGTAGTAACATAAAATTTACTCATATATTAGAATTAAATTGTAAAAATAGTAACTACATATTTATATTATTTATTATAAATATATTGAAGTCTTTTATACGTATTATATATAAGAATTAATTTCTTTTAGTTTAAATTTTATTTCTTTATTTTGAATTTACCACAAAATATAAATGTATATATATATTTATAGTTTTGACTTATATTTTTTTCTATTTTTTATTTTTTATTTTTCGTAATTTTGACATGTTTTATGGGTTGACGGGGTAAATTGAACGATTCGGTCGGGTTCAGGGGCTTATTTGACCCCCTAAGTTGCCACGTCACATGCATAGTTGGCACCCTACCGGGGTGACGTGGCGATGACCAGATTGCGACCTGCTAAAATTGAAATTTGAATCTTTTTATCGAGTTCATGGTGCTAATTGGAACTTTTTTGAATTCAGGTGGCAAATTGAGCAATCTGGAAAGGTACAATGACCTATTTGACCCTTTAGCCTTTATTTTTTATGTTTTTATTTTTTTATGTTTTATTATTAATACCTCCGTCACATTGACGGGTTCCATGATAAAATAACACGATCATTTAGACAATAATTAAATAAGGCCGTTCAAGCATATTTTGAGAATTAATTTAATAGGTATATAATATAATGGGGTTAATGTTGATAACTATGATGTTATAAATGTAATATTTTTAATATTTAATGATTAATTTATCATTTAAGATTGTTATTTGTTTCATAAAATGGAAATGAAAATCTTTATATAGGACGCCAGAAATGGAGAGTGGGAACCTTTCTATGGAACAAAAGAAGTATGTAGTATTATTTAAAAATCTTATAAAAGAATGATAAGGACAAAGGTAAAATTGAAAGAGTTATAATTTACTTTTACTTAGGGATTGTTTGCAATTGCTTTTGCTTTAAAAAACACTTTTAAGTGATTTTGAAAAAAAGTGATTAATAGTAAAAATTGGCAGTGTTTTACAAAAAATCGATTTTGAAAAAGTAAAAATTTGTAGTGTTTGATAAAATATGTGCCTTTTGTATAATAGGAACAATAACAAGCAAATTCTAGTTTTTAGCTTTCAAAAAAAACTAGAAGTTGTCATTTTTTTAGTTTTTAGCTTTCAAGTATTTAGCAGAAGTTATCATTTGCAAACATTTTTTTCATCTTTTAAAACCAAAATTTGAAAATCATTTTTTTTAAACATACCCTTGGTCTATTATGTAGAGAAATCAAGCAAATCAAAGTCAAACTTTTGGTGACATATATATTGGTGCAAGTTATCAAACAAGCAACATAGTCCATCAGACCATTTGTAGTGGTTGGGAGTCTAAAAATTTAAAAATGGACTCCGTCCATATGAAAACAGTGTTTAGACTCCTATTCCTTGCATCCCAGCACCGTCAATAAAATACATTCAGCATATTTTTTCACATATCAATTTAGTAAAACATTAGTTAAATCATCATAAGTAATATTTTCAAATTACTTTTTTCCCTAAATAATTATGAAATAAAAAATACATATTTCGATGTAAAAATAAATAAATTTCCTTAATTTTTTTTACGTTTTTCGGTTAACAAAAAATGAATTTAGTCCAAGTAAAGTTTTATTATGGAATATTCAGTTATGTGTAGAGGCTCCATGAATTAAAAATTTGTGTCTTGTGTTTTTTTCAGGCTCAAGAAAATTCCAATAGTTAAAACATAAGAATTTTTTTTTCATTTTATATATTACATGTTGGTGTCATATGAAAGATAATAAAAATTCGTAAATTTTGATATATCTTCTGTAAAATTTGGAGAACAAATAAAAAAGTTATAAGAGTTTTAAAAAGAGAAATTTACCCCTAGTATTACTAAAACTCATCTGTTTTCCCATAATAAGACCTAAACGAAATTTTCCCAAATATGTACTACCGGTCAACTAAGTCATACGACCCGAGTAGAATCTAATTTCGTTCGTTCCATGTCTGCCCTCCAGGTTCATTTACGGTAAGTATGTATGTGATTAAGACACTCCCTAGTCTTCTCATTTTCTTCCCATGTAACTGTTTTTCATTCAATGATTGATCCATTAAAATAGGTAACCAAAGATACGTGTGATTTTTCATGTCTCAAGAGCTGGAGCTATATCTCCGACATGTATGGTTCGTTATTATATCAAGCTTAAAAAAGGTTTTCCGTATATTGGAGCAATCGTAAATTTGTTTGACATCCATGGAGTTTCTAGATCATCCGCACCAATCTCCGAACATACGTGTGATGGTGAAGGTAGATGGGGAGTGGGATAGTAAGATTCAGTTTCACAGTTCATCGTCTATTCTTATTGATATTCCTTTGTCATGTTCATTTCACGATTTCTGCGCTATTGTGTATGGTTCCTTGGGCGTTAAATATTCCGGCGAACGTATACGGATTTCATACGTTTACGAAGCATGTCCTCCCCCTCTTATTGTCAATGATGATTGTAGTTTGATGTTTTATCTGCAAATGAAGTGCATTCAATCAGAACTGAATAAACTCCCCCTCTGTGTCGAAATACTTCATGGACTTGAAGGTGAGTTTAGTGATTTGTTTCATGTTCGTATAACTACATTATGTCTTATGCTTTATATATTTCATTTTTCTTTTTTAATTTGATGAATGAATGTACTGCAGGTGTGCCAAATGATTGTAATAATGATGTCTGTGATGTTGAAGGTTTGGAATTCAGTCCTCAATTGGAAGCAGTTGGTGGAGCGGATAAAGCAACCACATGGTATGCTGATGGTGTAGGGCAGGATTCCAGCATTCAATGCAGTGTTGTAAGCCCTTGTTCTTATGATGAAGATATGTATAATGATGACTCGCCAAGTTCATTTGAACTTCCGCCCCCATCTTCTGTCTCCCATTTTGACCCCACTCGTATTGCTCTCCATGCTATTTATAATAGCAAGAAAGATCTTGATTTTGATTTGAGGATGCTTGCAATCACAAATTTTTTCCAATACACGACGAAATCATCATCTCCTAACGTGTTGCATGTAGTTTGTATCGATCCAGAGTGCAAGTGGTCTGTCCGAGGAGCCCGTGTAGATGAGAGCGGCTTGTTTCAAGTGCAAAGGTCTGATTTTTTTTAGTTCATATGTTACTGCATTGAAATCCATTCTTAATAGCCATTTCATTCTAAATTCTATACATCGGAGTTCTCATTTTGATTCATTCGATATTTCAGATTTGATATCAAACATACGTGTTCAATTGATCTTAGACAAGCTAATAGTCGTCAAGCATCTGCTTCTCTTATTGCCGAACTCATAAAGCATGAATATGATGACACATCCAAAAAAGTTTACACACCTCAAAATATTATGGCAGATATGCTAAAACTTTATGGTATTGTAATGTCTTATAAAAAAGCTTGGCATGCAAGGGAAATTGCAATGAAGCTGGTTCGAGGATCTGACAAGGAGTCTTATAATAGGTTGCCGTCTTTGTGCCATATGCTAGATAAAGCAAATCGAGAATCTATTGTCTCATATTCTTGCAATTTAAATGGAGAATTTGAGTATTTTTTTTATGTCTCTTGCGCCATGGAGGGATAGATGGGAACATTGCATTCCAGTAGTTATTGTTGATGGTTCTTTTTTGAAGTCATATTATAAAGGAACACTACTAACCGCATGCACTCAAGATGCCAATAAACAAATTTTTCCACTTGCATTTGCTATTTGTAGTGTTGAAAACACTGTGAACTGGACATGGTTTTTCGAGATGTTGAAAAAGTCTCTTAAACATAGGGATGACTTATATGTTGTGTCCGATCGCCACGAGGGAATCTTAAATGCTGTGCGTTCAGTGTTTCCACACGCGGAACATGGTTTTTGTGTTTACCATATTTTAGGTAATATAAAATCCAAATTTCGTGGATCGGCACGTTTGGTGTCTTGGAAATTTTTACAGGCAGCTAGGGCAGGTTCAGTGTATGAATGCGAACGGTATCTATCCATGCTTGATTATGATGACCCTCGTATACGACCATACTTGGAAAAAATTGGTAACGACAAGTGGTCTCGTGCATATGCTAGTCGCAATAGATACTCTGTTATGATGTCCAATAATGCGGAGTCTCTGAATGCGATTTTTGTCACTGCCCGTGAGTATCCAATTTGCAAGTTGGTAGAATTCATTGTAGGCACATTGCAGAAATGGTTTTGTGATCGTAGAGAAGCTGCTGCAGCTAACCATTCTAGGCTCTCTGACCATTTTGAATCCCAGCTGATTTTATCTCAATCTAGTGCAGCCTTAATGCAGGTCATTGAATATATTGTGTCACTTTAATCTTTAATTTTTTCCAATTCAACTTTTTAACGTAACATTGAGTTTACTTTTCACACATTGATTTTACAGGTTAAGCCATCATGCAATTTTGAGTTTGAAGTTTTTGACAGAAAAGGAAGATCATATGTTGTCAATTTAAGAGAAGGGACTTGCACTTGTCGTGAATTCCAACTAGATGGCTTCATATGCGTTCATGCTGTTGCATCAATTCGATCTCGCCCAGGTCTTTCTTGTTATGACTATATCCCTGAGTATTACACTCACCATAAATGGGTTTCAGCTTATGCGGGTATTATTCATCCCATTGGTAGTCCCGATGGTTGGGTTGTTCCCCATCATATACAAGACATCATTTGCAATCCCCCCTCATGTTCGAAGCGCCCCCCCGGAAGACCCAAGAAGCGACGCATGCCATCCATTGGTGAACATGTGAGGAAACAAAAGTGCACCCGTTGCTCGATGGTTGGCCATAACAAAAAGACATGCAGAAATCCCATTCCGCGTTCCTAGTTTTGTTTCGAAAAGCTAGTTTTAACTTTATGCCACTTAGCTTATTGTTTTCATCATCATGTTTACATTTTGTTTGTTTTAGACTTTTCAAGCAGCAGAATAATAATGTTACTTTATTGTTTTAAAATTTTATAATACATTATATGTTAACTTATGCGTACTGTTATGATGAATGCATTTTAATGTTTATACTTTCCGTGCGAATGAATTCATAAACTATTAGGCCTGCAATTACCTCTTCAATAGCGGCTTAATTTTTGTATTTAAAACATTAGAAGTATCCATTATAAAAAGTCAAAATTAATGCCATTGTTTGTATGCATGCACTTTAATATCCATATTACAAAAGGTTGGATTATTTGTTTGCTTTAACGTTAATTTTTTTAAGGTGCATTGAGAAGCTTTACATTTTTAAAAGTATTTAAAATTTGTTTTTTAAAGCACATATGTTTTATTTGTGTGCATTGAAAATATGCATTTAAAGCCACCTCTCTTTAAATTCGCCTCCATTATAGATTAATTATTGTCGTTCTATTTAGTGTTTCCATATGAACCGCTTCATAAACATTTACTTGTGTTTTCTCTTTATTTAAAACATTAGTAGTATTACCATACAAGGTAAAAATTAATGACATTATTTGTATGGATACGCTTTAATATCCATATTACAAAAAGTTGGATTATTTGTTTGCTTTAATGCTATTTTTTTTAATTTAAACACGTACGGAGTATTGTATTTCAAAATGAAATGTAAGCTGCATTGACAAGGTTAACATTGAAAAGTATTTAGAACTTGTTTCTTAATGCACAACTTTATTAGTTGTGGGCATTGAAAAGATGCATTTAAAGCCACCTCTCTTTACTTTTGACTCTCTTATAGATCAATTATTGTAAGGCAACAATTTCCAACAATCACACCAACTTTTCACAGGAAAAAAAACATATTACATTTTAAACAACAAGACATGTTCAATTTGCATTTGGAGTACATTTCGAACATCAACTACACGCATAATTACCCAAAAAACTAATCACAATCAAAAAACTTTTTTGCGCATTGAATTTTTTCATTAGCTAAATGCATAAGATGTCAACCAAAGCCATACTAGAACTTAACTTCAAAGACCAGTCATGAAAGCAAATCCAAAATGTAAAATAAAAAATCCATAACAGTTAACACAACACAACCACCAAATCCAAAATAACAACATTTCAATTTTCCCTAAAACAATCACTCCACTCCAAATAACTGAATGAGTCCATAGTGCTGAAACATCTCTATAACCATTTTTTTTTATAAGTCCACAACTCACTCCAGTGCACTTCTTTTGCAGCTCTTCCCATCATTAAATATTCGGCTATTTTCAGCACGAATAATCCACAGCTATGCCTGCAAAAAGATATAGTTTTAATCAATTACAAGAAATAAGTCAATTACAAGTTATAATCACTTGTGGCTTTATGTATGTATCTTGTTTTTTCACTTCTATTACCCATCATTTTGCTGCGGGCACTCAGTAACAATCTCCACTTGCAATTTCCCTTCTCCAATGGGCACCTCCCCGCGTTCATGAAAAACCCCTAAGCAATCCATCAGCCTGGCTAAGTGAATTTCGATGCAAGGCAAGAACTCTTTCAATTTTCGGCATGGGTTTCCACTTGCATTCAAAGAATCATATATGCGGATTCTCTTTCCCCCAACATCAAGAACTAGGAGAATCCAGTGATTGCCAATATTTAATGGCATGTACACGTACTCACACCCTGACCATGGTAGCCCGTGATCCATATTCCTTCCCAGGATTGCAGACAATATACTCTTGTTACGACTTGTTTCCTCTACTGAACTCTGATTCTTCGCAATGACATCATGATGGCGTTTCACCAATGCCATGAAATCACAATTCGTAGTGGTGAATTTCTGTTGAAGAGAGTATTGTTTTGCTTTGACACGCAAATGGTACATGCCCACGTCTATGTGCTGCAATAGATGACAACTTCGCATTAATAGTATATTACACTTTAACACTTCTACACCAAAATAATAGTAATATATTAAACTTACCGAGTCTCTTATCCAATTGCCCTCAAACCATAAATCATAGTACCATGACTTGCTTGTGAGTCTGTCATCTTCCCACATGTCATTTCCGTTTCGCAGTTTCAACTTTTCATCAGTTGATCTATACTTCCTGCCCTTCACCGTTTTGTGATTTTTCAGCAGTCCATGATACATGAACTCAACTATTATCTCTTCCGCCTCATTACTCGGCTCGTCTTTTGGGTTCAAAGGGAGAGGACCTCTCAGCACAGGCTGTTTCCCTTGAAACCTGGATTCCGTCTTCCTCTTCTTCGTGTTCACTGGCCCGGACAACGTTAATCTGTCAGGGACCTTCGTTTCTCTCCTCGGACGCTTCCGTAACTCCTCTTCTAAAGCCACATCTTCCTGAAATTTTACAACATTTAATATTTACCATATATAAATTATTTATAGCAATTAAGATTATAAATAAATATTATTTTTTGAAACTACTTAACCGCATTCTCCTCTTGTTCTGCTTCACTTTTATTAGAAACCATTTCCCCTGTTTTCATTTCATCCAAAACCCCACTTGTTCCATCACCAGACGCCATGTTTTTGCTTCCTTTCTCAATGCTCTGCTTCAAATGAAAATCTGCCACAATGCTATCCACTTCATTAACTAGTAACTGTGTGTTTAGGGGCTCTTCAAATCCATCCCCCCACTCTGCATCAACTTGGTCTGCAATGTTCTCCGCTTGAACTGAGATGCCACCCACTGCAGTTATAGTTTGCTCTTCCACATTTTCGGTGGACATATCACCGACTTCCTTTTCTTCAGGTTCATCATTTACCACAGTGAACTCGGGTGCAAGGTCAAAAGAAGGAACATCCTGATCTCTTGCCTCCTTCTTCTTTTTTATGAAGTTAAACTTGCTGACCAGATGAGCCTTTCCTTTCTTAGCATTACTCAGTAACTTTTTCATCATGTTTGCTTGCTTGACTTGCAATTCACAAAGTTTATTAATTGTTCGCTCCAGTTTGTCAATTCTCTCACTTTGCTCTCTCAATGCAATCAATAACCTTTCACTAACATTGGTTTTCCTCTTCACTCCTCTCACATCAGGACTTGTTTGTACATCATCATCAGATTGTTCGTCTTCATCAACAACATTTTTGGATTTCCTTCCACCCCTTCTGTTTTTTCCCCTCCTTCCTGAACCTTGTACACTTCCACTTCTACTTGTCTTACTCATTGCCTTTGAACTTGCTTCTTCACTGCTGATTTGCTTCAACGCATTTGCTACACGTTCCTCTTTCAACTCATCTTCTGTAGGTTCCATTGCCTCCCATTCGAACTTTCAAAATCATAACAATATTGAATGTTAGTGATATTAATTATAACTCACAAATTATACTAAATGCACTTACAATATTGAATCAGGAATTGTTTTTAGTCATTCTGTTTACTAAAAATAGAATGACTACAAAACAGAATGATATTATGCATCTTACTTTTGAATTACTAAATACAAGCTGCTCAAGCATGCCCGTTGCTGGTCTTGAGGGGGCCGACCAATTCAGTATCCTTGGCCAGTGATTGCATGGCTTTTTTAGGCACACTCTCATTTTTCTCAGTTCTGTAAAAGTCTCGAATGCCCATATTTGAAGAGCAAACATGTAGCCTGGAAATGTGGGCCTTGTGTTTTTTCCTTCACCTACAATGGCAGCACACTTTGGCAGCTTTTCAACCAAATCTTCCCACACCACGTCACCCCATGGGTATTTATTGAACTCTTCAATGTTATCTACGAGGTTGATATAAGTGGAGGGAATCTTGATGGTTGGTTGGTTTCCAAGAATATAGTTTCCTAGGACATGCAACAAACCAAGTTTCAGTGCATCTGATGGTTGAAGTTGAAACTCTTCTCTTCTATTAGTTATGGATTCAAAAACCTGCCTAAGGTCTGACCGATCCACACTTTTCTTTCCATTAAAGAATTTTCGCCACACTTCACCCTGCCTGTGAGAATTTAAGGTCGGCTTCTTTGCCGCGAATTCAAAACCAGTTATCAAAGCAAAGTCTTCTTTCTTCATTGAAATCAACTTTTTGCAGACTTGAAACTCAATGGCTTTCTTGCTACCAACTTCTTCAAAACGCTCCACGTAATTGCCCACTAGCATGCATAAAAGTTGAGCACTGACCCAGGGCATGTTTCCTACATCCAATAGATAGCCAAAAACAGTCTTCCTAAATTCTATTAATTCCTCTTCGGTCAGCACACTTCGTATACTCTCTACAGCCTTTACTGGATTGCAAAATGAAGTCATCTTCAGGTCGGACTTGTCCACTAAAATGTCCGCATTACAAAAACGCTTATAAGCCTGTTCAAAAATAAGAAATTTCATTTACTTTTATGCCAATCACAGATATTGATTAAAGATATGTTATGACATCACAAAAACGCTTATTAGTCCTATCATAAGCTAAAAGTAAGAAAATCCAGGGATGAAAGGATATCACACATAAAATTATTGCACCATCTTAAAAACAGTCACAAACTAACCCAAGATGATACTATGAAGGCACATAAGTATACAGTAAATATATGCTGCTTTAGTCACAGAGAGTTAAATTAAGCACCCACCCTTACCCACAGAAGTGCCAATAGTAAGTATCTGAGGTAGGTTAGAAAAAGCAATTCAAGGATATAGAAAATGTGGTGCTTGTGCATGCTTCTAATTATATAATATTTAACCTGCATTCACTGCATAATACCAAAGCCTAAGTCATATTCCACAATTTATGTTTTACTCATTATTCAATGCCCCATTTTTGCGAATAAAAAACAATGCCCTGTAATTCACCATCAACTCACACAATCTCAACATTCAATGCATAGTGCCAAAGCATAAATCAGGAACCACACTTTGTGATTTTAACATGCAGTGCCCGTTTATGCAAAAAACTCAAAACAAAAAAATCAATGCCTTGTACATCACACCAACTAAAACTTGTGCGCAGTAAATCAATGCGCAGTAACTCAATGCCCTGTAAATCAATGCCCTGTA